GAGGAGCTCAATCAACTCATAGGAACATGCAAAAGTCAACTCAGGGCACTGAAAGCTATGACCTGGAATGGACATGGAGCCTCTATTGCCGTGCTTAAAATGATGTACACAGCCTATGTGCGCTCCGTCATAGACTATGCCGCACCAGTTCTGTGCACCTACTCCCAAAGCGATATGAAAAGGCTTGAAAGCATTGAAAATGAAGCCATGACAATCATTCTTGGAGTTCCAAGAACTGCCAAAACGTCTAATCTACGAGAAGAGTTGTCCCTTCCCAGTGTTAAAAGCAGAATTAAGGAGCTGAATGCTAAGCTTGCAATTAGGATAGCCAGAGATCCCCATTACAATGATATTGCTAAGAAAAAACTGAGGTCTGTGCTACTTTCAAGGGGAAACAGGAGAAGCAAAAAATGGCATCAGAGATCAGTCTGCTACCTCGAAGAGCTTCACCTGCTTGAGCAAGCCCGTGAGCTCCTGCCTGTAGAGAGGTTACCTCCCTGGGAGGATGACTCATGCAAGATCATCATCAATGAAATGGCAATGGAAAAAATCTAACATATTACCAAAAGAAATGAAGCACAAGTATCTCGAGGAAATTTATAAAGAAGCCGGAGATGAACTAGATCAAATCTACACTGACGGGTCATCTAATCCTGTCAATGGAAGGGCTGGTGCAGCATACATGGTAATGAAGGATAATACTTTCCAACGCAGAAATGAAGAAAAAGCACGTATTGAGAACTATGCCTCTTCAACGCAAGCAGAACTAACTGCCATTGTTATGGCGTTAAGGTTTCTTGAACGGAACACTAATGGTGCAGTGATTTGCACCGATTCAAAAGCAGCACTGCAAAGCCTAAGTAAAAATCAGGCAGAAAATCTTGCAATAGTCGCTGAAATCAAGAGAGCTGTGAGAGTACTTACCAATCAGGGAAGAGTCATCAAGTTTCTGTGGATCCCCTCCCATGTTGGAATATGTGGGAATGAACGAGCAGATGTGCTGGCTGCTGAAGGCGCTGAAGGAGACCATATTGAATACTTCATACCCAAGACTCTACTACAAATTAGAGGTATTGTCAGGCAACATCACCGTGACAAGGTAACTGAGGAAAGGAGGATAGAAGCACAAATCAATGAATCTGTACGATGGTACAACATGGTTGCAGCTGGCAATCGCAATCATTATGGACGAAGAGGAGGAGGACGTGGGAGAGTCAGTAATACAGATAGCGAGAATCCGTCGTGGATACAAATATCCATGGAGATATGGAATGGAAACAACAGTGGATCAGCGAAGTTGCAGAATCTGTGGTGAGTGTGATGGACACCGCCTTGACCACTATCTACGTGACTGTGAACACCTGAGAGACATCAGACGTATGTGTAGAATAATAAACCCCACATTGTTTGAGTTAGGAAAACACTATTTGTCAAATATTGATACTGTTCTTAAAAGATTTCCCCATTTTGCACCCGCAAGATAACGTAAGCTTTTAAGGGTTGATAGATGTTAATCTTCTTGTTTGAGGAGCTGTTCACTTGAGACAGTTAAGCAAGTCCCAGCTGTGTCTGGGTACAAGTGACAGGATGAACAACCCAGCGAGTTTTTTTCCTATTGGGGAGTGTTGTACATGCTGCTATGGCAGTATGTCCACTCACAAGATGAGTGGCGCTGCCCAATAATCTCGCCTCTCGGGGCAAAATTTAAAAAATTTAAAATAGGAGACTGCTATTCAAATAAGACACACAGGTGGGAAGCGGAAATCCCTAGCATGGGTAAGGAACTACCTAACAGGAGGAGTCTGAGAGTAACGGTAAGGGGTGAGAAGTTGAACTGGCAAACATTAACGAGTGGAGTACCTCAAGGATTGGGGCTGGGACCAGTTCTATTAAATATAAATAAATGAAGTGTCTACAGGACTAGTATCTTATATGTCGATGTTCGTTGATGACACAAAATTAACGAGAAGAGTTGTGACAGATGAGATTTGTAGGATCCTACAAAAGGACTTGAACAGGTTGCAGAGATAGTCAGAGAAATGGCTACTGGAGTTCAACACGAGCAAATGTAAAGTTATGGAAATGGGATTAGGTGACACGAGACCAAAGAGACTGGACACAATGTAGGGAAACTACCTACCTGTGACGATTCGAGAAAGAGACACGTATAAATAGGATAATGACAGCAGAGTACTCTGTGCTGGCAAAAGATATAACATCATTCAGAAACCTAATTAAGGAGGCATTTAGGGTGCTTTACACTGCCTACATGAGACCAGTCTTAGAGTATGCTGCCCCATCATGGAGCCCCCATCTGAAGAAACATACAAGAAAACTGTAAAAGGTTCAGAAGTTTGCAACAAAGCTCGTCCCAGTTACAAGGGATGGGGGTATGAAGAGCGACTGAAGGAACTGAACCTGACGACACTAGAAAAAAGGAGGGGGTAGATATGAAAGGAACATGTGACATACTTAGGGGGATTGACAGTTGAAATAGACTAAATGTTCACTGAATACTAACAGAACAAGGGAACATGAGAGGAAGCTGGAAACTCGGATGAGTCACAGAGATGTTAAGAAGTTTTCTTTTAGTGTGAGAGTAGTGGGAAAATGGAATGAACCTGAGGTTGTGGAAGCAAACTATTCATAATTTTAAAACTAGACATGATAGGGAAATAGAACAGGAGTCATTGCTATAAACCGGGGGCTAGAAATGCGGGATCCAAGAGTCACCGCTCAATCCTGCAGGCACAAATAGGCGAGTACACACACAGTATGGTTTTTGATCTGAAAGATTGTACGTGACAAATTTATTCACTTTCTACGATAGAGCCACAGAAATTTTACAGGAAAAAGATGGTCGAGTTGACTGCATCTACCTGGACCTAAAAAAGGCTTCCGACAGAGTTCCACATAAAAGGTTGTTCTGAAAACAGGAACATACTGGAGCAGTGACAGGGAGGTTTCTAACATGGATGAAACATTTTCTATGAAAAATGAGGGAAGTAATCAGGGGCAATGTATCAGACTGGAGAAATGTCACCAGTGGAGTACCACAGAGTTCAGTTCTTGCACCGGTGATGTTCATTGTCTACATAAACAACCTACCAGATGGAATACATTATTCTATGAACATGTTTGCTGATGATGCTAAAATACTAGGGAAGATAAGAAACTTAGAGGATTGTCATGCCCTTCAAGAAGATCTGGACGAAATAAGTGTACAGAGCACCACTTGGCAACTGGAATTTAATGTGAATAAATGCCATGTTATGGAATGTGGAATAGAACATAGACCGCACACAACCTACAAATTACATGAAAAATCTTTTAAAAATTCTAATAACGAGATCTAGGGGTGGGTCTAGATATAATACTATCACCTGAGGACCACATTAAGAGCATTGTGCGAAGAGCTTATACTACACTTTCCAATTTCAGAATTGCTTCTAAATACATGGATGGTGAAATACTAAAGAAATTGTTCATGACCTTTGTTAGACCAAAGCTGGAATATGTAGTGGTTGTATGGTGCCTGTATCTTAAGAAACACATCAACAAACTGGAAAAGGTGCAAAGACATGCAACTTAATGGCTCCTGAAATTGAAGGACAAGAGCTACGAGGAGAGGTTAGAGGGCTTAAATATGTCAAAATTAGAAAATAGAAGAAAAAAAGGTAATATCACTACGTATAAAATAGTAAACGTGAATCAATAAAATTAATAGGGAAGAATTCCTGTGACCTGGAACTTCAAGAACAAAAGGTCATATATTTAAACTAAACAAAGCTGTGGAAGAAATATAAGAAATTTTACTTTTGCAAACAGAGTGGTAGACGATTGGAATAAGTTAGGCAAGAAGGTGGTGGAGGCCAAAACCATCAGTAGTTTCAAAGCATTATACAACAGAATGCTATAAAGACGGGACACCATGAAAGTAGCTCTCATCCTGTAACTACACACAGAGCAGGCCTATCTAATTATGAGTAGTTAAGTGTGCTGATTTTGAGATATGTCTTCAGTGGAGAGTGATATGACAATGGATTGTGGTATTTAATACCTTTTTAGTGGGTATATGCGGGTGGGAAAATGAGGTGCAAAAATAATGTAGATAATATCTTTACTACATTATCTACGTAGTAGATAATGTAGTAAAGATATGAGGTCTATTATGCATATGGAGGTGGTTTGAGGCCAGTCTAACTACCACTCTCCACGTAAGTCTCCACACAATCCAAGGATAAGCCTGCCGTCGAGTCTGCAATCATGCCTGGAATACTGGAATCTGACACCACCACATTCAGTGCCAAAAACTATAGAAATTATTGAGTGTTAACATCTGATTTTTATATGCAATGTAGCATGGTATTTAATTTTTGGATTAGTGTTTCCACATGTGATTTGGAGTCAGTTTTCTCTTCGGAGACCAGTGATAAGAATTTTTAATGTCTGGACACCAGCCCATCATATTACACCTAGAATTCCCCTTCCTAGGTTTGTATCAGTTTGTTAGCTTCAACTTCTGCGATCCTATATCTGCCTGAAATTAAAAACCAAAATGCTTTATGTTATACACTTTTTATCTACACTCAAAATATAATTTTTGTTACGATTCTCATTTGACATACTGTACACCTGGATGTCAAATGTTTAGTAGAGAATATCTATCGTATTAGCATACGTCGTTGTGGTATGTATGCAGATGCTCTGGTGATTTTTGTTTTTGTAATTTAAAACGATTTAGGAAATGGAGTTTCTTTTATGTTCGAAGACTGGTGCCTATCCAAATACATGCGACATTACCCTAATTCAAACGGCACTGTATGTACATATTTTACACATAATACATTTTACATATAAATTATAATTATTTCTGTATTCATTTCTGTATTTCAGTTATTACTATTATTAATGTTCACACTCTTTGTTTTATAACCTCACTATTACTGACAGTTCAATGTGAGGATCAGCAGAACTCGGATAAACTCAGAATCAAGAAATACTCTTAATAGCTCAAAAAATATATTTTAGAAATTCCCATATTATATATATATCCATTATACATATTATAACACTTGTGACAAAACAATGACTTTATATTTATATTCTTACCATGTATCAAAATATCTTGCACTTTATGAATAACAACAAACTATATAGCAAATCATTCATTTCTACACTAGAATTATTATCCTGATAGAGAAACAACCATTGATTTTTTAGAAAAATTATGTATACCTTATATTCATAACCAATGTCTCCACTGATGGAGAAATTAATACTTTAATAACATGTAATATTTTCTAAATATGCTCTACATACATATTGAATTATTTGTCTTTTTACAGATACTTGTACCTTTGAAGAACATCTTTTGGGGACACTTGAAAGCCATGGTGTACAGTACCAGGAAAAGATATGAACATGAATCGGAAAGGCATTCAAAATGTAACCGTATGTAACACCAGGAGTGTTATGCGAGTTCACCAGAAGTGGGACAATTACATCTGTTTGCATTTTCAACATAATGTAAAAAATGTAAACATATTTTGTGAATGAAGTTACACTTTGATAAAAGGTGATAATTTTGTCCATGTATGTAGACTTTTGGACCAATGTATAGTATATACACACAGTATAAATATATAAACTTTATATTTACAGGTACAGTATTCATTTAGCATGAGCAGCTAGGGAAAATATATACTAAATCCAGAGGGTAGAATAAGAACATGGGTTATTATGGAAAGGGTTCATATGGACTAAAATCTGGTCTAAGAATAAAAAAGTTACCGGTAATTAAGCAACCATCAAAATGCTTCATATTAAAATAATAAACAATACATATCCAAATCACATAATAAAGTGATTCTTGAACTGTTACATACATATAATTATCAATACTGTAATAGTTATGAAAGTAAAGGAAGATGCAAAGATGTGTTCTATCATGACTTTTGATAATACTGACTAATATCCCAGTCACTTATTTTAAAAATAGTTGATGGGTTTAAAATAGTAACTGTACCAGATGTTGGTAATGTAGAATCTCCAACTGGCTGTTCAAAGGTTTCATTACATAATACACTGTTATCTGAAATTCCTGTTAATACTGTATCACTTCGAGATATATTAGTGGCCTTATTGTCTACATTTAGCGGAAGTATGGTGGATGCTGTGTGAGATCCATCTTTAAGGGCATCTGCTGGTAGAAGAGAAGCATTTGTGGAAGGTGATCCATGAACAAGAGGTATTTGCAGAGATGTTGGATCAGTGTTCATTGTTACTATCATGTTTACACCCTCACCTGTAACAGTAAGTTGTTCCAAAGGAGTTAATGAAACAATATTAGTATCACTGCCAACATCTACGCTTGAAATAATAATTCCTGTTTCAGCATTCTGTGACAAGGCACTTTCTTTTACATGAGAATGAAGAGTATGTTCTGATAACTGATCTACACTGTCAAATGTTAAGCAACACACATTACAATACATTGGCTCTTCTGTTGTTCCTGGCTTCTGCTTAATACAAATCGTCTTGTGTAATGAATTATCTGCAAGTGTGAACGGAGTTTTACGTCCATCACAATATACGTGCTCAGCATTATCATACAAAGGGTCTGATAGTTTTTTCCTGTGGTTACGGGTTTTTAAGTGATTGTTATATTTGCCCTCGGTAGGAAATGAGATGTTACAAGGTCTACACTTATATATATTGGAATCTTTCATATGTATCCTCATATGATTTCTGCAATTAGATATATATCTAAACACTTTGCCACACTCCTTACAAGAATATGGCTTTTCACCTGTATGCACCCTCTCATGACATTTAAGATCATCTTTTCTAACAAACTTTTTGCTGCATACTTGACAAACAAATTGTTTTTCTTTTTGGTGAATTAGCATATGCCTAATTAGTCTTGACTTAATTACGAAGCATTTTTTGCAGACTTTACACTGGTGCAATCCGGGACTTTCTGCCATGTGGATTTTTTCATGGATCTTCTTATCCCGATCCCTCAAAAACATTTTCTTGCAATGCTCGCACTGATGCGATTTGTCATTATTATGGATTCTCATGTGTTCTTTTAGAGAAAATTTATTGCACAGTTTTTTATTACAAACATTACATACACATTCTTCAGTATGTTGCTGCCTGTGTTTGGCAAGATTGGATTTTGTGCTAGTAAGAAATCCACAAATATTACACTTGAATGACTTATCTTTAGTATGAATAAGCATATGTTCAACTCTGTGACTGTAAGCCCGGAATGTCTTGCTACACACTGGGCATGTGTGCTTTCTCTCTGGTTTGGATTCATTTCTCTTACTTACTTTCCTCATGGTAGCCAATGACAATGCTTTTGCAATAATACCATTCTCATTTGTTGCTAGGTCCACACTATTTAAAACAAGTAAACACTTTCCATCTTCATCCTCTATTACTTGGGAAAGTTTTGACTTCATAAATATCTTAAGAGCTTTGTTAAAACTTTGAATGGTATCTCGACACACGTCTACAAATTTACAAAGTTGTTTTTCAATTGATTCAAATTTCTTAAAACATTTAGCGCACACGACATCACTATACAAGTGAATGTCAGCAACAGATTTCTTTAAAATGTAACCAAGAAGATTAAGAAGAGGTTCAGCATTACCTATTCTGGTAAATGCACTGATGCTCCCACCTGGTGAGCCACATGTGAGACACAGACTCACGCTGGTCATGGTAGAATCCTGAAAAGAATACAAAATACTTGTATCTACAATCAAAAAACCAAAATCATACAAATGTATACATGTACAGTGGTACCTCCAAAATCAAGACCTACATATCATGGGTCCCTCTAAAAACAGACCAAATCCACTCACTGGTTAACATCCCCAAAATTCAGATTTATGAAGAAAACATTATGGATCCTGGGGGGCAGGGGTGAATTTGATGAAACCGGATTGTCAGTTCACCATGTAGATACAGTGGGCCCCTGCTGAATTAAATTCCTGCATGGATTGAATAAGTTCCTGAAGAGAATCAAATAAATGTTTCTTTTTGTGAGAATTATTCACGCAAATCAGAAGCCAAGCAAGCTCACCATGACACAGCCATGATAAAAGCATACCTAATCTACTGTAAAGTGCATACATTTTGTTCACTAAATTCAAATTCAATATATGTTATTCTACAAAAATATTATCAAACAATAATATAAGAAAAAAACCAGCGTTGAATGTAATGAAACCCTATTTTCTGGGTGAGTCCCAGAGGCTCCGCCGAAGCTTTCTCAGGCTGATATGCTAATGTCAGACTTTGGCATCAGTCATGTGTATGGAGTTCTTAGGCCTACCGGGGACCACGGCCAGAACCGGGCCCCGACAGAGAGGCAAGGGGAGCAATGGCCTATAGAAACCCCCGTGTGGTTGGAAGCATTCTATGCCTGCTATCGACCGGAACAGGCACCCAGAAAGGTAAGTGCCTCAAAACAAACCCCTATTCTGGTTAAAATTGCTACCAAAAGCCGAACTAGTGGATAGAATTCCCCAACAGAAAACAAGCAAACTAGTGTGACGTCACACGTCACCGCGCCGCTGTCTGTGCAGCTTCCCCCCTCCCCGAGAAGGAGAAGGGAGAGCCCCAGACCCCCCACGCCGGCTACCCACACCTCAGTTCTTGAGGCTGGATGTCAAAAACGCGAAAAAAACGCCGACCGGAGGGAGGGAGGGATGCCGGGGAGCCTCCAGGACTCACCCAGAAAATGGCGTTTCATTACATTCAACACTGGTTTTCTGGGGAAAGCCCCGTCGGCTCCCCGGAGCTAACTACCCACAGACAGAAAAAAGAGGGAACTACCCGGGAGGCGGTCGTCGCTCACTCAACTCGAAGCCGAGACAACTGGCTGCAACCGCCGACCCAAAGCAACACAGGCCCAACGGGGCCCAGGGACATTCACAAGGTAACGAGCAGCCAGGACCCTGTTTGACCGCCAAAAACTCCATACCCAAATATCAGACCAAGACATATTCCCAAAGACGGCAGCAAGAGCCGTGAACTTACGGACGTCACGGGCACGGGGATAGACCGCAGGCTGGCTGGACTTGATAACCTTGCGGACGACTTGGGAGACCCGAACCCGCGAACAGGGAAGAAGGGAAACCGGATCAACCCAAAGCACGTCCCCGGACACAGAAGCCATGGCGCGCAAATAACGGTGAAGCACCGCAACCGCACATAAAACATGATGCACCCCCGGCCTGACCAACCAAGCATCAACTACCCATGGACCCCTCCGGAACGCAGCAGTCTCATTCTTCGCCAGAAAAGAAGAAGGCTGCAAGCGAACAAAACAATCTCCACGACCAAAAGAGCAGAAACCCCTGCGCCAGAGGAGAGCATGAAGCACGCCTACCCAACCCCCAGAGGCTAATGCCAACAAGAAAAGAGCCTTGGAGAAACAATCCCGGACTGAAGGGGCCACAACGAAACGAGGAGACGAAAGGTAAGCGAGCACTCGGTCCAAAGACCAGGACGGCTCAGGCGACGCATGAGCAGGCCAGAAGTGAAACAAGGCACGAGATAGCTTGCAAAACGGCGCAGACGTAACATCGATACCGAAGGCAAGCTGAAGCACCTCCGCCAGCACCGCACGATACGAGGCGACAGTGTTAGGCATAAGATGACGGTCCTGAAACAACCAAGAGAGAAAGAACAAGACCACCCTAACAGACAATGAACTAACACGACGAAGACGCAAAAAGAAACAGAAGGACCGCCAGGAAACTTCATACTGCCGCCGAGAAGAAGCCCTCAGGTGGGACATCAACACCAACAAGGAGGCCACCTGATCACCATAGAGATGATGATAGACTCGAGTCAAAAAACCCATACGCGAAGACTCGAGAAGATCGAACCAGCCACGTGACGTACCGGCCCGATTTGCTGAAAGAGGTGGAGCCGCGGGAAAACCCTTGGGTTCGGACACCGAGCAAGCAGCGCCTGAAACAAAGGCTGGGCCGGCCACCAAGGGGCCATAGAAGGACAACTCTCCCCTGGTAAGTCTCCAAGCGAGTCAGGACCTGGAGTAACAGCCGAACTGGGGAAAAGAGGTACAGGAACCCCACCTCGGCCAGTCTAGCCGAAAGGCATCGACCCCGATGGCCTCGCAATCGGGGAAGGGCGCCGCATACATGGGAAAACGCCGCGACCACGCCGACGCGAAGAGGTCCACCTCGGGGCGCCCGAATATCTGGCAAAGCCAATGGAAGGACTCGTCGTCGACCGTCCACTCCGTGGAGAGGGGAACGAAGCGAGACAGGGCATCGGCCAAGACGTTGGACACTTCCTGTATGTGAACCGCCAGGAGAGCCAAACCCCGAGAACCCAGCAGACGAGTCACCCGAAGCGACCAACCCCAAAGAGACAAGGACCACATCAAACCCCCGCGGTTCAGGCAATGAACTACCAGAAAGCAGTCTGAATGGAGCCAAATCATCGATCCGCGGGCGACCCAAATCCTCCAAAGAGCAAACCACACTGCCGCGAACTCCCGCACCGTGCTGTGAGCTCGACGGAAGGACAGATCCCAACGCCCCTGGCCGGCCTGGTGAGCACTGGTCACAAAGCCCCAGCCGAGAGACAACGCATCCGTGTACACATCGAGCGAGGGCTCGGGTAGGCGCCAAGGCACTGAACTCCGAAAAACCCGCAGAGGAAGCCGGTGACGCAGCAGCCGACGTAAGGCCCCTGGGGGTCGAACCCTGCGATCACGAGAGGCGGAAGGGGGTGACCCCGAAGGAACTATAACAGCCGACGAAGCCAAACCCGACCCAGTGGGTAGATCACCATCGCGAAGTTCAGGCTCCCGCACAGCCCCTCGAGCAACCGCCGGGTGACCTAAGGGCCCACCAGAAACAGACGAAGGCGGGACCGCAGCCGCAGGAGAGACTCCGGAAGGAGAGACAAGGAGGTGGTCCGAGAGTCCCAAACGAGACCCAGCAAAGTCCGAACCTGAGAGGGGACCAGATGGGACTTCCTCCAGTTCACCAAGAACCCAAACCTGGCGAGCTGGGAAAGAACCAAATCCCTGGCTAGCAAGCAAGCTGACCGGCTGGGAGCCCAAACCAGCCAGTCGTCAATGTAGGCCAACACCCGAACACCTAGGAGACGCAAACGGGCTACCACGACCCGCGTAAGGCGTGTGAACACGCGAGGTGCCAGGTTCAACCCGAACGGGAGACAACGAAAGCGGTAACTCAGATGCCCCACAACAAAACCGAGCCAGTCCCTGAACCGTGGATGAATCGGGACATGCCAAAAAGCGTCCCGGAGGTCCAGGGACAGCATCCAAGCGCCCGGCTCCAAGAGGAGCCGAACCTGAGACAGCGTAGTCATCCGAAAGGAGGGGCAATGAACCCCGGGGATCAGACGGGACAAGTCCAGAATGAACCGCAGGTCCACGCAGTCCCGTTTTGGGACCGGAAACAGACGGGAAACACATTTGAGGGACAACGTCGTTTCGACGACGCCCAAGCAAACCCACTCCAAGACAACTCGACAGAGTGCAGGGGAAGAAACCTGCCCTGCCAGCCCCGACCACCCCAAGGGGGGGAGGGGTCACCCAACGCCACCGCAGGCCGACAGACACGACCCAAAACGCCCTCGAATCGTGGGAGCAGGCGTGGGCGAACAGCGCAAGCCGCCCCCCCATCGCCCCGTCAATGGGGCAAACCGCGAAAGGGCCAGCGCCCCTTATGAGACCAAGAACCCTGCACTGAGCGAACACCGCGCCGACCAGACGAGGGAGGGTCCGAAGTAGGAGGCACCCGAACCTGACACCAGTGGCCTACCACGACGAGAGGAACCCCGAGCCCTGGCACGACCCTTCCGGGAAGACCCACATTGGGACCCCTGGAAAACCAACAAGTCCGACATCGGACGACAAGCCGACGACGCAGCCTAAATAAACTGCGCCACGGCCAACTCTTTAAACGGAAGAGGACAAATAGGCAAAGAAAGAGCCTGAGCACAAGCAACCTACAAAGAGAGAGAAAATGGCGGAAAGAATGCCAAGAAACTTAATACTGACGTCGGGACGAAGCTCTTAAGTAGGGACATCAACAAAGCCATCATAAAGAAATGGTGAAATAATTTATCACCATAAAGATGGTGATAAATCCACGTCAAAAAGACCAGATGCGAAGAACGGAGGAGACCGAACCAGCCATGTACCGAACCAGTCTGATCTGCTGGAAGAGGCAGAGACACGGAAAATGCCCCGGGTTTGGACACCAAGCAAGCAGCACCTAAAACCAAGGAGCCATTAGGGCAACTCTCCCATGGTAAGACTCCAACTGAGCCAGAACCCAAAGCAACAGCTGGACCGGGGGGTAAGAGGTACAGCTAACCCCACCTTGACCAGTCCTGCCAAAAGGCATTCACCGCGAAGGCTCCGCAGTCGGGGAATTGCGCCACATATCGACATATCGGGAGACGTCTTGACAACGCCGATGCGTAGAGGTCCACCTCCGGGAACCCATACGTCTGGCAGAGCCAATTGAAAGAGTCGCCGTTGACCGTCCATTCCATAGACAGGGGAATGAATCATGACAGGCCTCGGCTAGGATGTTGGACACCCCCCGGATGTGAGCTGCATGGACCCTGAGAAACCAGCAGACGAGCCAGTCGAAGCAACCAGCCCCAAAGAGGCAAGGACCAAAGGGAACCCCCACGGCTCAAGCTGTAACCGAACCTCCGGAGAACAGTCAGAATGAAGCCAGATGGTCGAACCCTGAGCAACCCGAACCCTCCAAAGTGACAGCCAAACTGGCGCAAGCTCCCACACCATGCTGAGAGGCCCACGGAAAGATGAACCCCACTGCCCCAGCTGGCCTGATGAGCACTGGTCAAAGCCCCAGCCGAAAGACGTGTCCGTGAACGCATTGAGCGAGGGCTCGAGTAGGCCCCAAGGCACTGAACCCTAAAAAACACAAAGAGGAAGCCGGTGACGCAGCAACCAACGCAAAGCCCCTGGAGGCAGAACCCAGTGATCGCAAGAGAGGTGGAAGGGGTGTTCTTAAAGGAAACAGAGCAGATGCCAAAGCCAAACCCAACCTAGCAGGTAATCCAGCACAGCAAAGTTCAGACTCCTGCACAAAAGCTCGAGTAACCGCCGAGTGACCTGGGACCCTCCCCCCAGAAACAGAGTTGCAGCAATGCCTCCGGATAGAGACAAGGAAGGGGTCCGAGAGGCACAAACAAACCCAGCTAGGTTCGAATCTGGAATGGGAACCAGATGGGACTTCTGCCAGTTCACCCGGAACCCGAACCCAGTGAGCTGGGAAAGAACCACGCTCCTAGTGAGCAGACATGCAGACTGACTTAGAGCCCACACCAGCCAGTCATCGAGGTAGGCCATAACCTAAATCCCTAGCAGAAGCAGATGGGTCACCACGACTCGGTAAGACCCTGCCCGAAACGCTGCGCGTACTAGTGGCTTTACAAGACTGTAATTACCATATTATGTATCCTCACATTCCCAATGTACCTTCTTGTATATGCATAAATAAATAAATAAATAAATGAATATGTGAGGTGCCAGATTCAAGCCAAAAGGAAGGCAATGAATGCTGTAAGCTTGATGTCCCACCAAGAAACCTAACCAGTCCCTGAAACCTGGATGAATGGGAACATGCTAATATGCATCCCCTGAGGTCCAGGGGCATCATCCAGGCACCTGGCTCCAACAGAAGCCGAACCTGAGACAGAGTGGTCATCCGAAAGGGAGGGGTAAGGAATCCAGGGGTTCAGACGGGACAAGTCCAGAATGAATCGCAGATCCACACAGTCCCGTTTCGGCACTAGAAACAGGCGGGAAACCTACCTGAGGGATAGGAACGTTTCAACCATGCCCAAGCACACCCACTCGAAGAGGACCCGACGGAGCACAGGGAAAAGAAGCTTGTCCGCCCCCCCCCCCAGCCCTGAACCCCCTAAAGGAGGCAACGTCGCCAAATGCCACCACAGGCCAGAGGATATGACCTTAAACGCTCACGAACTGTGGGACCACGTGTGAGCAAACAGCGAGAGCCTTCTCCCCTATCGCCCCGTTGACGAGGCGACGGGGGGAGTCTCATGCTATTTGAAAGCCGGTGAGGATGAGCCGGATCGAATGCCTCAGTCCCCAACCCTAATGGGGCAGCACCCAAAGCTACCTGTGTCTCATTACCAACTAAACCCCGCTCCAACTCTGAAACACTCAAGACGTTAGGGAGCCGGAAGCAGGGGAAGGGGGAAGGGGAAAAAACAGGGTGAACAACAGGGAAAAGACCAGGGAGCGCGTACTGAACCAAAGTCGAAGTGATTAATACCCCCAAGTCCGGGCCCTTATAACCAAAATGGGCTGCGAGCCAATATTGTACATCACTGCACAGTATAGGTTTCTAAGCAAATATTACACAAATACTGTATAAAGCAATCTGTACTAGACTTTGAATGCTTTAAATTTGGCTACCATATGTTTAGAAAAATATACACAACGTCCTACATAATTAAAAATATTTAAGTTCCCAGAGAGCCACAAAGTGGCTAAAGTGCTTAAAATTAATACAGTACATTATATACAGTGATCCAAAGGAATGTTTACATAATATAATAAAGGCAATTTCCTTGAAACATAAAGTAATAACATTTTTTACTATAACACCTTGCACTCTATACATTTTATACATGAAACTTTTAATAAATAAAATAAATAAATAAATAAATTTATGTTATGATGAAAGACTGGAGGTATTAAATATACCAAAGCTAGAAGATAGAAGGAAAAAAAAAGAGGCAATCTGATCACCACTTACAAAATAATAACAGGAATTGACCAAATTTACAGAGGAACTCCTGAAACTGGCAACCTCAAGAACAAGAGGTCATAGATTTAAGCTAAGGAAATAAAGGTGCTGAACGAAATTAGAAAGTTTTCTTTTAGAAACACAGTGGTAGATGGTTGGAACAAGTTAAGTGAGAAAGTAGTGGAGACCAAACCCAGTAGTAGTTTCAAAGTGTTACAGTATATGACAGAGTATTGGGAAGACGGGACACCACAAGCATAGCGTTCATCCTGTAACTACACTTAGGTAATTACATATACACACACACACACAGTTTTGTGAGAGTAAAGGATTACACTACTAAAATTGCCTTTCAATGTCACTTTTACCTGAGGGTAACCACCCACCTTTAGTGGCCTCAATGAGAACTTGTCAATGAGAACATTGAGAACCCGGAGACTTGTCAAAGGTCCCCCTCCCATTTGTCCTGAAATTGAAACTATGGTAGTTTGAAATTATGGTAGTTTACCATACCATTCTGTATAACTATACCTGAGTTAATTCCTGTTTTAATTCCCTTTCCACAATGGATTCAAATTTCTTTTGCAAGTCTACAGAAGCTTCATGATCCACTGTGTGTACAGCAGAAGGCCCTCCAGGGTCAGCAGCTGCCATCATCTGTGGAAAGTACACTAGCTGAACTATAACATGTTTTTAACTGCTACAGTAAATTTTTTTAAACACTGTATGCTAATCTGTAACTGCATTGAAGCATTACTGTACCACAAACTTGGTTATCCACATTTGTTGGGACCTGAAGGTGGTGGTTTGCAGGCCACTGCCTCAGTGTTAATCATAGTACATTCTGGGATGGCACTTCCAGCATTACTACTGGTGGCAGGAAGTTCAAACTATATTATCTGTTAACCCCAAGTCTAAGGGTGATTTTATTTTCAGAGTAATCTGACTCGGTTACTTCCCGAGTACATTCTGTTGTATTTATCGGACAGAATTACTGGTAGCAACGATCGGACCTATTAATTACCCAAAGCCTTCTAGCGTTTCATAAGTAATGAAGAAATGTAACATTTACTCACTATAATGTTGGTGCTGAATGCAGAACATGAAAAACATATTTTACTCTGAAATACAGTAATATCATTTTATAACAATATTAGATGAAGCTATGTGGCAATTGATGCCAGAGGAAGTCAACGAGCCAAGCAACAATGTTGAGGAGCAACTTAGCCAAGATATGGTGATGCCTGGAGGTTATATTAGGTTAGGTACAGGAGGCTGATATGCCAGCGAACACTCTCCAGGCAACAATATATCTTGGATAAGTCGCTCCACAACATTGTCGCTTGGATCGTCGATGTCCTTTGGTGTCACCTGCTACTTAGTTTCGTCTAATTTCATTATAAAATATTATTTCAGAATAATAATGTTTTTTTATGTTCTACAGTCAGCACCAACATTATAGTCATTATAGTCGGTAAATAAAGTACGTCATATTTCTTCATTACTTACGTAATGCAAGGAGGCTTTAGGTAGCTTTGGGTAATTAGTAGCACCTGTAACCATCAGGCAGGATGACATTCTGACAACATGCACGTGAACTTTTGATGCGGTTACTGCAGGACAATGTTAACCTGAATTTACCTGAGGGCCACTAACACACTAGTGGCCTCAACAAGGACAGGAAGCCGGCGGCTTATCAAAAGTCCCACTTATTTGCCCTTCTGCCCCCCCCCCCATATTTATGTTATGGAACATTTAAAAAGAGACATTTCAGCATTGGAATGACTGCCAAAAGGTTCTATTCATAATAATTCAAGGCATTTCAAGTCCTAAATGCTGACCGCCAATGGAACACTCTTGCTAACTACCAGTTGGACAACCTAACCCACCCACCACAATTGCCACCAGGTAGCAGCACCATACAACCAAAGAGAATTTTGGAGTAAAGTAATTATCAAAAGAAGGCACCAAGCCTAAGAGATTATTCAGCCAATAATTTTGGAGCAAGTGGCATCATCACTCACAAAAAATATTTATTGTATGATTAAATTAAATTAAATTTTATTGTATGATTAAAAATAAGTATGATTTACCAACAAGATCAACATTTAATTAGTATAAATTTTATTATTTCATTTCCCTGTAGATTTCTTTATATCAAAGAAACTGGATTTCTTTATATCTAAGAAGCTGGATTTCTTTATATCTAAGAAACTGTGAATTTCTTTATAACTAAGAAACTGTGGATTTCTTTATATCAAAGAAACTATGGACTTCTTTATATCAAAGAAACTAGATTTCTTTATATCTAAGAAATTGTGGATTTCTTTATATCAAAGAAATTGTGGATTTCTTTAAATCAAAGAAACTGAGGATTTCTTTATATCTAAGAAACTGTGGATTTCTTTATATCAAAGAAACTATGGACTTCTTTATATCAAACAAACTGTAGATTTCTTTATATCTAAGAAACTGGATTTTGTCCTACTATATATTCTGTAATTTAAATTACAGTATTTACCAAATATATATTTCATAAGCTGCACTAGTGGCTGACAGCTACTTGGAACAATGGTACTCTATTAGAGTATTAGGTAAGTACTCTCTAAGGGTTAAAGAGTAGCGATGACGTAGCACGACTACACTTGTGAATGAATACATGGTGTGCAAAAGACAACAAACCACAGTACAGTACATGATTTGGCTACACCTCGATTGCCTTAGCACCTGGCCCTACGAGAGCCAAGACTAGGAGCACCTGGCCCCACGAGAGCCAAGACTAGGAGCACCTGGCCCTACGAGAGCCAAGACTAGGGGCACCTGGCCCTACGAGAGCCAAGACTAGGAGCACCTAGCCCCACGAGAGCCAAGACTAGGAGCACCTGGCCCTACGAGAGCCAAGACTAGGAGCACCTGGCCCCACGAGAGCCAAGACTAGGAGCACCTGGCCCTACGAGAGCCAAGACTAGGGGCACCTGGCCCTACGAGAGCCAAGACTAGGAGCACCTGGCCCCACGAGAGCCAAGACTAGGAGCACCTGGCCCTACAAGAGCCAAGACTAGGGGCACCTGGCCCTACGAGAGCCAAGACCAGGAGCATCTGGCCCCACGAGAGCCAAGACTAGGAGCACCTGGCCCCACGAGAGCCAAGACTAGGGGCAACTGGCCCTACGAGAGCCAAGACTAGGAGCACCTGGCCCCACAAGAGCCAAGACTAGGGGCACCTGGCCCTACGAGAGTCAAGACTAGGGGCACCTGGCCCCACGAGAGCCAAGACCAGGAGCATCTGGCCCCACGAGAGCCAAGACTAGGAGCACCTGGCCCCACGAGAGCCAAGACTAAGAGCACCTGGCCCTACGAGAGCCAAGACTAGGAGCACCTGGCCCCGCGAGAGCCAAGACTAGGAGCACCTGGCCCTACGAGAGCCAAGACTAAGAGTACCTGGCCCCACGAGAGCCAAGACTAGAAGCACCTGGCCCCACGAGAGCCAAGACTAGGAGCACCTGGCCCTACGAGAGCCAAGACTAAGAGCACCTGGCCCCACGAGAGCCAAGACTAGGAGCACCTGGCCCCGCGAGAGCCAAGACTAGGAGCACCTGGCCCTACGAGAGCCAAGACTAAGAGCACCTGGCCCCACGAGAGCCAAGACTAAGAGCACCTGGCCCCGCGAGAGCCAAGACTAGGAGCACCTGGCCCCACGAGAGCCAAGACTAGGAGCACCTGGCCCTACGAGAGCCAAGACTAGGAGCACCTGGCCCCACGAGAGCCAAGACTAGGGGCACCTGGCCCCACGAGAGCCAAGACTAGGAACACCTGGCCCCACGAGAGCCAAGACTAGGGGCACCTGGCCCCAGGAGAGCCAAGACTAGGAGCACCTAGCCCTACGAGAGCCAAGACTAGGAGCACCTGGCCCTACGAGAGCCAAGACTAGGAGCACCTGGCCCCACGAGAGCCAAGACTAGGGGCACCTGGCCCCACGAGAGCCAAGACTAGGAGCACCTGGCCCCACGAGAGCCAAGACTAGGGGCACCTGGCCCCACGAGAGCCAAGACTAGGAGCACCTGGCCCCACGAGAGCCAAGACTAGGGGCACCTGGCCCCACGAGAGCCAAGACTAGGAGCACCTAGCCCTACAAGAGCCAAGACTAGGAGCACCTGGCCTCACGAGAGCTAAGACTAGGGGCACCTGGCCCCACGAGAGCCAAGACTAGGAGCACCTGGCCCTACGAGAGCCAAGACAAGGAGCACCTGGCCCCACGAGAGCCAAGACTAGGGGCACCTGGCCCCACGAGAGCCAAGACTAGGAGCACCTAGCCCCACGAGAGCCAAGACTAAGAGCACCTGACCCTACGAGAGCCAAGACTAGGAGCACCTAGCCCTACGAGAGCCAAGACTAGGAGCACCTGGCCTCACGAGAGCTAAGACTAGGGGCACCTGGCCCCACGAGAGCCAAGACTAGGAGCACCTGGCCCCACGAGAGCCAAGACTAGGAGCACCTGGCCCCACGAGGGCCAAGACTAGGAGCACCTGGCCCTACGAGAGCCAAGACTAGGAGCACCTGGCCCCACGAGAGCCAAGACTAGGAGCACCTGGCCCTACGAGAGCCAAGACTAGGAGCACCTGGCCCCACGAGAGCCAAGACTAGGAGCACCTGGCCCCACGAGAGCCAAGACTAGGAGCACCTGGCCCTACGAGAGCAAAGACTAAGCGGTCCGTCTAATTACCACAAGCTACACAAGCTTCAGAAAGCTTCCTGGCAATACGTTAGTAATGAATAAATGATATATTTACTCATTATAATGTAGGTGCTGAATGTACAACATGAAAAAACATAATTTTAATCTGAAAAAGTATCTTTTTATAAAGAAATTAGACGAAAATAAAAAGCTGGTGACGCCAAATCAAGTCGACGATCCAAGCTTCGGTTAGGTTAGGTTAGGTTTGGTTTAGTTAAGTTAGGTTAGGTTAGGATAGGTTAGGATAGGTTAGGATAGGTTAGGATAGGTTAGGTTAGGTTAGGTCAGCCTAACTTAACATATCTTATTTATTCATTACTAACGTATTGCCAGGAAGCTTTCTGAAGCTTGTGTAGCTTGTGGTAGCTTGTGGTAATTAGACGGACCCAGACTAAGAGCACCTGGCCCCACGAGAGCCTAGACTAGGAGCACCTGGCCCCATGAGAGCCAAGACTAGGAGCACCTATCCCCAAGAGAGCCAAGACTAAGAGCACCTGGCCCCTCGAGAGCCAAGACTAGGAGCACCTGGCCCTACGAGAGTCAAGACTAGGGGCACCTGGCCCCACGAGAGCCAAGACTAGGAGCACCTGGCCCCTCGAGAGCCAAGACTAGGAGCACCTGGCCCTACGAGAGTCAAGACTAGGGGCACCTGGCCCTACGAGAGTCAAGACTAGGGGCACCTGGCCCCACGAGAGCCAAGACTAGGAGCACCTGGCCCCTCGAGAGCCAGACTAGGAGCACCTGGCCCTACGAGAGTCAAGACTAGGGGCACCTGGCCCTACGAGAGTCAAGACTAGGGGCACCTGGCCCCACGAGAGCCAAGACTAGGAGCACCTGGCCCCTCGAGAGCCAAGACTAGGAGCACCTGGCCCTACGAGAGTCAAGACTAGGAGCACCTGGCCCTACGAGAGCCAAGACTAGGAGCACCTGGCCCTACGAGAGCCAAGACTAGGAGCACCTGGCCCTACGAGAGCCAAGACTAGGAGCACCTGGCCCTACGAGAGCCAAGACTAGGAGCACCTGGCCCCACGAGAGCCAAGACTAGGAGCACCTGGCCCTACGAGAGCCAAGAGCACCTGGCCCCACGAGAGCCAAGAGAGCTTATACCAACCTTGCAGAGGCCCAACACGACCCTCGTGCAGCTGGTTCAACGTTGTCACTACTTGTTTCAGCCTGCCAACCTGCGGACAACATTGAGGCGTGACCAAGCAGCCTGTGAGGCGGGCACACTGCATCAACTCTCACCTGTTTCCTCATCCTCGCTCGCTAACCCTTCATATACAAACTAGTACCACCACATTCCTCTCTATACTCAAGCTTGTTAATTATGTAAAGAAAAAATCAACACTTCATGAAGTATTTAATTGTAATATATATATATATTATATTTATTTATTTGTTGTTGTTTTAGGGGCGACGAAGATCGGGAGGTCGGATGCGCTCCGGCGGCCCCGTACTGGGAAATAGTAGAGGGGGATGGTGATGATGGTGATGATGATGATGATGATGATGATGGTGGTGATGATGATGATGATGGTGATGGTGATGATGATGATGGCGATGGTGGTGATGGTGATGATGATGATGATGATGATGATGATGATGATGATGATGATGATGATGATGATGATGATGATGATGATGATGATGATGATGATGATGATGATGATGATGATGGTGATGGTGATGATGATGATGATGATGATGATTTATTTGCAAGAAGGAACAATGGTTTGGTGAGATTACATAGGATTGGATTGGTATTTTTACATTCATGCAAAGCCACTAGCTCAAGCCTCCCCCCCCCCCCCCGGCAAGCACAACTAGGTGAGTACTATATACACAGCGTTTCGGGAAGCTGGGATCGGGATGGGATCCCTACCAGGGTTGCCAGATTGGGCTAAAAGTAGCAAATTGGGCTACTTTTTAAAGTTCTTTTGTGTTGCTAAATTTTGAATCTCGCTACTTGCGACTTTTTAGGCTATTTTAAAAATCAGTTCGGCTAATTTGGGCTACTAATGTTAAGATAATCAATGACTTATTATTTATGCATTTATAATGTAATGTATGTAAATCACAGCTACATCCAACTGCCTGGTTGACCAGACTATGAAAGAAGGACCTGAGGACGTTAATCCTCATAAGAGAACATAAGAATCTAAAAAGTTTCTAAAACTGTTGCAATTCTTTCTACGATCCGATATGTACTTCGCCCTGCCCTGGAGACGCTCTATTACTCTTTCATCTATCCTTATCTTAATTATAGTATTTGTGCTTGGGGTTCTACTACCCAAAATCATCTACATTCTCTAATTACTCAACACAAAGCTTCTATTAGAACAATATCAAACTTTGGCCCCAGACAGCACTCGGCACCCTTACTTAAATCTTTGAATATGTTACATATTAAGTCACTGCACATCCTCTCAAGTGTACTCTATATATTTAAAACTGTGAACTGTAATGCCAATCCTGACCTTAAATGCTCTCTAGAAGGTTGTAACAGAACCCATGGGCACCACACCAGAAACAAATACTAATTTGATATTCCAAGAGTGCACATTAATCAAACTATAAATGCTATACAAATCAAGGGACTCAGAATATGGAATGACCTTCCCAATCATGTCAAAGGATATACCTCTCTCAACCGGTTTAAGATAAAAACAAAGTACTACCTAATAAACTCCATGTAACCTACCTTATTCCCTAAATGTCAACCCATGTCTTGCTATTTTCAAACAATACTTTTTGTTGACCAACTTGTTTATTTGCTGATTTCTGCCATCCCCCCCCCCCCCATCCCTTTCAACACAATTTATGCTTTAATCTCAAATAGTATTAAGTTTTAGTCCAAGTGTTTTCCCCCATACCTTGCCCAAAACGCGTTCTAGTCTTCTTCAGTGGCGTCTGACAACTTGAAGGAAATCCTACCTGAGCACCTAGTTCAACAGGCAGGGGTACATGATCCCAGCATCACAGACTGCACAACCAAATGGGTCTCTCTCGCAGGACCAGCACCCCAACCATCGCCTTCTGAAACCCATAAGCAATCCAGCTGGGATCGCCCCATTGCCGACCAAGAAGCTGCGACAACACCACATGACACTGCCCGACGTAGAGCTGTAGCAGCTCCCCATGCAGGTGACTTCCTATTAGCAACCCCAATGTCAGCAACCGGCACCCATCTCACACCGCAGGCCCTCCGAATTGCTGTGGTTCTCCGCCTCGCTGCCCCAATCCACACCGGATACAGGTGTATTTGCGGCGAGGCAGAGGCCCGAAAGGTATGGACGGCATGGCCTTCTCTGCCAAAGAACAGGAGGATGGCATGCAAGACACGGCGAGGGTAACAACATTATTAAGAGAAGCCTTACCACAGCCGGTTGTCCCACAGTGAGAGCGCCCCGTTACCTAATGTCCCGCAACTCTGATGAGCCTGTCGGTCGCCCAGACGGAATCACGATGCACCCCTGTAAGAATGGTAGACAGTTGGTGTGGGACTACACTTGCGTTTCAACTTTAGCCAACACCTATGTTGACTTCAGTGCTACACAAGCAGGAGGAGCTGCCAATCACTGGGAAGCAGCCAAGTCACATAAATACAGAGACCCTGAGCACCACTACAATTTTGTCCCCATTACCTCAGACACTTGGTGCCTGGGGTAAAAGTGCTTCTAGCTTTTTGAAGGAGTTGGGGTCCAAGCTAATCGAAACAACTAGAGACCCTAGAGCTGCCAGTTTTCTCTTTCAGCGCCTTAGTATGGCAATCCAGAGAGGAAATGCTCACTGCATCCATGGTTCCTGCCCGCCATCTGAGGAGCTATACAACTTGTGACAAGTAGCCTTGTACCCTGCATGTAACCAATGTTGTAACTTTTTTGTGTAATGGCATTTTCAAATAAAGTTAGATATATATACACACATACCAAAAGAATAGGGGTGGTAGGAGAGGAAAATATCAAAGTATTCAGTGAGGATCCACAAGGTCTTCTCTGAGTACTCTTTATTTTCTTCTCCGAGGCTATGGCCCGGTCCCTACACTTGCACCAGAGGTGGTACCCCTTCTAGGTGTGTGTGTGTAATTACCTAAGTGTAGTTACAGGATGAGAGCTACACTCGTGGTGTCCCATCTTCTCAACACTCTTTGTGTAATTACCTAAGTGTAGTTACAGGATGAGAGCTATGCTCGTGGTGTCCCGTCTTCCCAACACTCTTTGTCATATAACACTTTGAAATTACTGACGGTCTTAGCCTCCACCAACTTCTCACCTAACTTGGTCCAACCATCTACCACTCTGCGACAGTGAATTTTCTTATATTTCTTCGGCATCTGTGTTTAGCTAGCTTAAATCTATGACCTCTTGATCTTAAAGTTCCAGATCTCAGGAAATCTTCCCTATCGATTTTATCAATTCCTGTAACTATTTTATACATAGTGATCATATCACCTCTTTTTCTTCTGTCTTCTAGTTTTGGCATATTTAATGCCTTTAACCTCTCCTCGTAGCTCTTGCCCTTCAGTTCTGGGAGCCACTTAGTAGCATGTCTTTGCACCTTTTCCAGTTTGTTGATGTGCTTCTTAAGATATGGGCACCACACAACCGCTGCATTTTCTAGCTTTGGCCTAACAAAAGTCGTGAACAATTTCTTTAGTATATTGCCATCCATGTATTTAAAAGCAATTCTGAAGTTAGAAAGCGTGGCATAGGCTCCTGTGTGTGTACTGTGTAATTACCTAAGTGTAGTTACAGGATGAGAGCTACGCTCGTGGTGTCCCGTCTTCCCAGCACTCTTTGTCATATAACGCTTTGAAACTACTGACGGTCTTGGCCTCCACCACCTTCTCACCTAACTTGTTCCAACCGTCTACCACTCTATTTGCGAAAGTGAATTTCTTATATTTCTTCGGCATCTGTGTTTAGCTAGTTTAAATCTATGACCTCTTGTTCTTGAAGTTCCAGGTCTCAGGAAATCTTCCCTATCGATTTTATCAATTCCTGTTACTATTTTGTACGTAGTGATCATATCACCTCTTTTTCTTCTGTCTTCTAGTTTTGGCTTCTAGCTTTGGCCTAACAAAAGTCGTGAACAATTTCTTTAGTATATCGCCATCCATGTATTTAAAAGCAATTCTGAAGTTAGAAAGCGTGGCATAGGCTCCTCGCACAACGTTCTTTATGTGGTCCTCAGGTGATAGTTTTCTATCTAGAACCACCCCTAGATCTCTTTCTTTATCAGAATGCTTTAAAGATTTCTCACATAATATATAGGTTGCGTGGGGCCTATGGTCTCCTATTCCACGTGCGTGCGTGCGTGCGCGCGCGTGCGTGTGCGTGTGTGTACTCACCTAGTTGTGTTTGCGGGGGTTGAGCTCTGGCTCTTTGGTCCCGCCTCTCAACCGTCAATCAACAGGTGTACAGATTCATGAGCCTATCGGGCTCTGTCATATCTACACTTGAAACTGTGTATGGAGTCAGCCTCCACCACATCACTTCCTAATGCATTCCATTTGTCAACCACTCTGACACTAAAAAAGTTCTTTCTAATATCTCTGTGGCTCATTTGGGCACTCAGTTTCCACCTGTGTCCCCTTGTGCGTGTTCCCCTTGTGTTAAATAGACTGTCTTTATCTACCCTATCAATCCCCTTCAGAATCTTGAATGTGGTGATCATGTCCCCCCTAACTCTTCTGTCTTCCAGCGAAGTGAGGTTTAATTCCCGTAGTCTCTCCTCGTAGCTCATACCTCTCAGCTCGGGTACTAGTCTGGTGGCAAACCTTTGAACCTTTTCCAGTTTAGTCTTATCCTTGACTAGATATGGACTCCATGCTGGGGCTGCATACTCCAGGATTGGCCTGACATATGTGGTATACAAAGTTCTGAATGATTCTTTACACAAGTTTCTGAATGCCGTTCGTATGTTGGCCAGCCTGGCATATGCCGCTGATGTTATCCGCTTGATATGTGCTGCAGGAGACAGGTCTGGCGTGATATCAACCCCCAAGTCTTTTTCCTTCTCTGACTCCTGAAGAATTTCCTCTCCCAGATGATACCTTGTATCTGGCCTCCTGCTCCCTACACCTATCTTCATTACATTACATTTGGTTGGGTTAAACTCTAACAACCATTTGTTCGACCATTCCTTCAGCTTGTCTAGGTCTTCTTGAAGCCTCAAACAGTCCTCTTCTGTTTTAATCCTTCTCATAATTTTAGCATCGTCCGCAAACATTGAGAGAAATGAATCGA